GACATTTTAAAAGTAGCTGTCGACATTTGGACCCTATTTATATTGACACTTAATTCGTTTAGAACGAAATTTCATTCTAAAGATGAGAATTCTCTATATTTCATAATGTTCTTGACATTTTAAGTGTAATTCTCAACATTTCATAAATATTTTATTTACTCACTTATAGGGAGAAGTGAGCATTTAATGCGTGATTGACATGGCCAACTTTTCATCCCCAAGGGATGAATAACATTACTCTTTCATAAAAGTAGACATTTTTTACAATTTCCTCATTTTTTAGCCCCCTGCTTTTCGTCTATCACTCTGCTTTTCTTTTTTAATTTATTTTTTACTCATTTAATCGTGTACAAACTAGCATGAACAGGCCAACACTATGATGTCCGAGTGGAAAATCTAGAGTAAATCACCAATGAAGTCAGCACGGAAAGCTTCCAGTAAGCCGAATGTGATCAAGCGCTCTCTTTAAACCGTACTTAAGCACAGCCTTATCACCTTCTCTGAAACCATCTCCATAAGCTGTTGAAGTGTCCGATTCAATCTGATGTTTGAAGAACTCACCGAGTTCTTTCTCAAATTGAGATCGTTTGCCCTTCTTCGAGGAACTAGATGATGATGAAGCTGCTGACGAGGTGGAGGAAGATGATGATGAAGTAGAAGCTACATTACTACCAGAACCAGCAATAATTTCAGAATCTAGCCACATATGAGCCAACACCTGGCAGATACCTTCTTCCACTTCTGGGCTTAGATTTGGGTAACCTGCAAAAGCGCGGGTAGTTCATGTAACAAACTGCGCTTATGGCCTGCTATTAAGGATTGGATAGCACTAGACAATTTCAAGGAAGAAAACAAGCTAAATTGCTATTCATTATAGAATCCTTTGGACCAAAGATGCACTTGAGTGAGTTGCAAGGGAAGCAACATAAGTAAGATGAAAATCACCTTTAAGTCGCAGCCATGCATGCATCATCTCATGAGCTAGGATGGAACCAGTCAATAACCTGAATAGAAAAGAGGTTTCTTATTTTGCTCTGGAAGTGCAAGCATAGACTATTTAGAGGCAAAAAGGGAAACAATACTCACCTAGGAAGACCATATAAAACAAGAATTGCTGTCACTTCACATCTACGAACTAGCCTATAAGGCTCGGTAATCATATCTACTATCCGATAGTCACCAATTTTCGGCCGCTTCAAAATCTGGATTTTGTGATAACAGGCACCAATTTCAATTTCAAAGAAAGAAAAACACGACTTTACAACTTTACATTACGCATTTAAAAGTAATATGCTGCCAAAAGATATACATACAGTGCTAACGGTCTGCTCTTCTGACAGGCAAAGTCCTCTAGTCTCGGGCATGTGATGATGACCCTGGACAAAAGATGAATATTAAAACATTTGGAACTCTTTTAGGGGTACAGTGTTTATAAAGCATAAACCTTACATTTTTTTCTCCTTCCATGGCTTCATTTAGGGCCTGTCTCTCAACCAAGAGCATTGGAACTTGCTGCTCCAACTTCATATTTAAACCTTCATAAAATTCTTGAATTTCAAGGTAAAGTGGTTGGCATTCGTGGGTATCCATTATTGAGGAGTCCAAACACTCTAGACATAGCTTCCGGCCATCATCAAGAATCAGATATCTAGTATCCACGGGCTGCATCAGAAAATTTGACATTAATCAAAGAAATAAGCTTGAAGGCTAATCATGTTGATAAATTTCCTTGTTCTTTTCAGGTTTTCTATTTTAGAACATCATTTTCCCAACAAACCTCCATTCTCTCACAGCTGCAACAGCGAGGTGTTCCATCATGCTCATGTGATGGGCAGTACTTCTGATGCCAAAAAGGATGTGCCCTATACTCAATAAGACCGGCTGCATTTGTTGGGATCTATGTTGGGGGAAAACAATTCAGAAAAACCAAAGCTACCATGTTGTTAGCATTGTATCCAGAAAGGAACAGAACAGTTCATCTTCATCATATGCATAGTGTAACAATGTAGCCTTAATGATCAAAAGTTGAAGATGAAATCAGTGTCTACAATCTCACCACGAACTCATGAAATGTTGCTTTAGAGTAGAGCAGCCAGATATTTAAGATGGAATACAGCATTTTGTACATAAGACCCATGTTTACTTGGGAAACATAAAGATAAAACAATGACATTTGAAAGCAGTAACTACTGATCAAATGCGATACAAACATATAGTTGATGTCCCCATTCTATTCCGAAATCAATAGACCATGATCATGTGCACTGGGCAAAGTGTCATGGTGCCTAAGTGAGGAAGATGGATGGTCATAATCATGGATTCATGGGACTCAGCATAAAGTCTGTGGGTTGTAACCATCAAATTCATATATTATTTAGTTTATTGAGTTTTAAGATTACATAGTTCCAGTCAGTTGGTACTAATCGCTTTTGGTAATCATAGCATACTTCGTTCATTTCAAAATCTTTCTGCCTCGTACTAATCTGGCCAATATTACAAATTTCTCGATTTTGTCATTCATTCGGTACTCTCCCTTTCTTTTGCCAAAATGTTGTTTTCTTCCTTTCGTTTTTAATTGAGTTCAACTCAAGGAAATATATCAACCCAATTCGGCACTGGCATATGCTATATTAGGATTAAAGATAGGAGATCTTTCTAGTTCAATATATCCTATCAGGAAATAGTTTGATTTCAGAGTTAAAAGTGTCAATTTCGAGAATTTCCATGGCTCAATGACTACTACTGTACTACTCAAGACTTTTCATGCAGGTTTGAACATGGTTGTCTGCACTCCCTTGTCCATAAACCCTTAAAATAATAGTTAATGGGAGTTTAATAATGATAGTTCTATTGGTAGTCCAGATCCCTTCTAGAAGTCTAAAAGGGAAAGGGCAAAGCAGTTAGGGAATATTGGCACAATTTCTCATTCATTTCTTTACAGATATCACTCTGTAAGTGGCAAGAGCTATAAATTTAGA